GGACGTCATAAGTACCACCAAGATTATTAGTACTGACCTTCCAGTTGAAAAAATGGATAGCCGCCTTGCCCACCTGCTAGAGGCCAAGCAGTCACTTCTCGCCCGCTGGAAAGGCCAGCGCCTCAATCGCAGGTTGCGCAAGAAAATCTCCGACCTAAACAAGACCACCGAGGAGCACTGTCGCGTGCTCTCCAAGCAGCAGTGGGACGAGGTGTGCAACTCGGTAGATGGCCAGATGCGTAATGGCAAGACATGGAACCTGCTCAAGCACCTGCTCAGCGAGACTTACACCAAAACTAACCAGATGAACGTACTAGCGCGAGCCATGCACGAAGCCAAGCAGTCCTCTTCAGAAGAGGAGGTTTTGAAGCAGCTGGTGCAAAAGTACCTCCCTGTCGACTCGAACCCCGCAACAACGTACCCCGAGTACTCAGGACCGGCCAACACTGAACTGGACGCCGAGATATGCCACGAAGAGGTTCGGCAGGCGCTTTACGCGCTCAATGGGAGGTCTGCCGCGGGCCCCGATGGCATAACTAATAAGACCCTGCGCAACCTGGACGACCGATCAATCGACTACCTCACCGAGATCATCAACGAGGCATGGAAGAGCGGCGAGGTCCCCGACCCGTGGAAGGTCGCGCGCACCGTGCTCATTCCTAAGCCGGGGAGGTCACCCAACTTGGACAACATGCGCCCCATTTCGCTCACATCCTGCGTGGGAAAGGTAGCCGAGCATGTGGTCCTCAATAGGTTGACTCGGTACCTGGAAGACAATGGGCTCTACCCGTACACCATGATTGGCTTTCGGGCCAAGCTTTCGACGCAAGACGCTATGAAGCTGCTCAAGCACCAAGTCATCGACTGCAACACTCGAGACATGCGGGCAATTCTCGGCCTCGATTTAGAGAAAGCCTTCGACAATGTTGCTCACTCTTTCGTGTTGCGGTCGATTGCTGAGCTCGGCCTTGGAGTCAGATTCTACAAATATGTCAACTCGTTCTTGACCCGTAGGAGAGCCACCCTCAGTGTGGGAGACCTTGTCTCCGAGGAGATCGAGCTGGGATCGCGCGGCACGCCACAAGGGTCAGTGCTATCGCCCACCCTGTTCAATCTTGTCATGGTCGGGTTGTCCAAGAGGCTCTCATGTATCGAAGGCATTAACCACACAATTTACGCGGACGATATTACCATTTGGTGCACAGGTGGCAGCGACGGGCAAGTCGAGCGCTCCCTGCAGGAGGCCATAGACACCACGGAAGATTACCTCCGTCCCACAGGCCTGAGGTGTTCCCCAAGCAAGTCCGAGTTTCTCCTTTACCAACCCACTAGGCGAGGGCCCAAGCCCAAAAACTGGCAGCCGATCTCGAAGAGTGATATCAAGCTCTACACCGGAGATGGCAGTGCGATACCCAGAGTTGACTCCATTCGGGTCCTCGGCATGACCATCAAGTCCAGTGGTTCCAACGGCAAGACTATACTCAAGCTCGCCGCCAAGACGGATAACGCGGTTCGGCTGGTTCGGCGGGTGGCCAACCGCTACCAAGGCCTCAAGGAAGACAACCTAATCCGCCTGGTCAATGCCTTTGTGCTCTGCCACTTTTCATATGTCGCGGCCATGCACAATTGGCAGCGTGCCGAGCGTGACAAGATCAACGTCTTGCTCAGAAAGATTACCAAGCGGGCCTCGGTATCCCGATCAGGACGCGCACCGAGCGCCTGCTCCAGCTCGGAGTACACAATACGTTGGAGGAGATTGCCGAAGCGCAGGAGCGGGCCCAGCTCCCGCGCCTTTCGAGCTCCCAGGCCGGCAGACATATACTCCGAGAGCTCGGTCACTCTCCGGCTGAAGTGGACGAGAAGATGAGACAGGTACCCCGTGAGATTCGTGACCTCATCACCGTGGCACCGATACCGAGGAATGTCCATCCCGAGCACAATCGTGGTAGGCGACGGGCTAGAGCTGCCACTCTTCTCAAGCAGATTCACAGTGAGGAGCACGGCGTCAGCTTTGTCGATGCGGCCGCGTACCGTGGGAGCCGCGCCTTCTCCGCAGTCGTCGTCGACTCCAAACAACAAATCACCAACTGCGCATCGGTTCACACTGACGATCCGGTGGTTGCCGAGCAAGTGGCCATCGCCCTGGCCATCCTGGAAGGTTAGAGGGAGGTCATCTATAGTGACCTCCCTCTATAGTGACCTCCCGCTATTCGCGCTTTCGAGCGCGGTGTAATCTCCAAGAAAGCCCTGCGCGTGCTCCAAAGTGGTGGCAGCGACGGCATCAAGCACCACGTACTGATTTGGTTTCCTGCACATGTTGGACAGGTCCAAGGCGCTCCCCCCAACCTCAACGAGTCTACCCACGAGGCCGCGCGCGCACTTACCGACCGCGCGGGTTCCGGGCAACGATTCGGGGCCAACGGGGTTGCGGAAAACAGGGACGCGCCTGCCACGTACAACGAAATAACAAAATATTTTTACCTCGCGCGGAGACTATATCCGCTCCCTCATCCAAATCTTAATAGGCCACAAGCCCTTACGCTCAGACTACTGCAGACCGACACGTACCCTAACCTGAGATCCCTTCACGCTATTTATCCTGACGTGTTCCCCAATGACGCTTGCCCCGAATGCGGGGATGTATCCACGCTGGCGCACATGCTCTGGGAGTGCAAGGCAATGTACACTAACCCCAACACTACATCGGTCAGGTGGGAGGCGGCCCTTCGCAGCTCCCTCCTGGCCGACCAACTTTGGGCCGTCCAGCAGGCCCGCGGAGCGGCCGATAGGCTTGGCCTAACGGTCCCCGACTGTGGGAGACGCCCGCTGCGCGCTGACGCGCGCCTGCAGGACCTCAATAAAGTTTCGCAACCACCTCATCCTCTTCCTCTATCCATGCCTGCAGTCTTTCCTTCATAATCTGCATCGCCAGTCTGAGACCACTGATACTGTTATAGGACGGTAGTTGTTTATGTGAGCTTTGTCCCCCTTTCCTTTATAGATCATACTCATCCTGCTAAGCTTTCATCCATAGGGAACTTCACCATCGATTATAGTTATGCTTACTGCCTTTCATTGGGTCCGAAATCTGTGCAGACTTCAGACCCAATGTCTTTATCAGCATAATTGGAATGCCATCTGGGCCTGTTGATGTACTACTTGGAACCCTCTTCTCAGCCCTTTCCCTCTCTCATTGTGAAAATGAAGCCAGTGTGCCACTTGATCCATCCTTGTCTATTGTGGTGCATAAGGCACTCTTTTGTTCAAATTTTTCTGTCACCCTTGTTCTTAAATATTCAATAGCTTCGTCCCCTTCTAGCCTACCACCGTGAGCTGTAGTTATAAGCATCTGCTCTTGGCTTGTTTCATTTCTCAGGGAGTTCAGATGGTTCCAAAATTTCGCAGCTGCCTTTCTGTCCTTTTTATGTACTTCTGCCAGCCGCTGAGAACCCTTTCTTCTCGTCTTTTCATTGATCAGGAGGGATGCTTCCCTTCTAGACCTAAGAAAGATGTCCCATTTTCTTTCAACATCATCTATCGGTTCACCTCGCTGCTTAGCATGTCTGTGTTCGCTAGAGGCTTCCTGACGTTTTGCTATGGTTTTCTTAACTTCCTCATGCCACTGGATGGATGGATGGATAGATGGATATGGCTGTACCCTTTAAATCGGGCGGTGGCTAGCGCCACTAAGCCGTAATACTTAATGAATTAAAAACTATATTGATTTTTTTTCCTTAAATAGTGAGGTTGAGGATTTTTACTTTGCAGTGAAAGGTTTAATTTTCACTCGTGCCGTGACTTTAGCCACCAATCAGATAACCTCCTTCTAGTTCATTCTACCCGCTTAAAGTCAATTTTGCCTTCCCTGTGCTTTGAAAAACTCTGCGCCATCAGCCTGAACTACAAGGTGAAGCCCTTTACAGAACGTTATCAAGTGTTTGGCAGTTTCTTCTTCCTCTCCACACGCACTGCATACCGTGTCTACCCCTTCGTATTTGGCCCGATATGTCTTTGTTCGCAATACTCCCGTCCATGGCCTCAAACTAGTAAAGAACTACCCCAAGTATTATCATAGATCCTTTCCTTGGCAATTTCCTGCTTAAAAGTTCGATAGATCTCTAGTGCAGACTTCTTAATCATGCCAATTCTCCACATATCGGTCTCAGCTTCCTTCACCTTCTTAACCGATAATTCTTTTTGGTTTGGCCTCCTGCTGTTTTCCAAGTATTTACAACCGATACTTCTTTTTGGTTTGGCCCCCTGCTGTTTTCCAAGTATTTACCAGTCAATTTTCTGGTTCGCTTCTTCCATTTCGTATCGATATCCTTCATGTACAAGTAGCTGAATACCTTCCTAGCCCAACGCTTCTGCCCCCATTTCTCTCAATCGCTTCTCAAATTTATCTTTCCAGGGCTGCAGGCGCCCTCTGTCGGCTGAGCGTGAACTAGACGCGACGGTGCGACAGAAGTTTGAAAATTGAGCAGGCACAGAAGTATATAGGAGGCTATGATATATATAAAAGCATGGAGAAAGAAATGTATAAAAAGCACCTTCCTTCGTGATAAAAGGCGATGCCCATGGACGTGCGCACGGGTGGTGGGGATGATAATGGTTATAGAAGATGAAGAAGGCGTAATTTCTGCAGCCCGGTGGAAGCGCTTCCCACTTAACCCAGAAAGTGAGCCCCTGGCACGCCCTGATCCTAAACAGTGCCGCATGCTAGCTACGAATGGTATTGGTACATCGCGTCATTTTCTTTCTTTGTAAAGGTTTATGACATACATTATGGCTCAAAAGACATACAGTCGAAACCCCTGCATTTTCATTAAAGCGTTTGAAAAAAAGAAGGCGTTGACCGCAGTGTACTACAAGTGGTAGGTGCACAGAACACATATACACTACCATTACACTGCAGCGTTGACTGAACCGCCTTTTAATTATCATCATCATAGTACTTTCGCATTCGTTTGTTTTTGGTCACGTGACCTCAAACGCGTCGCACATGCTCATGACCAATGTTGACGCGGCTGGCACAGGCGAACACAAATTGTAATGCACAACCTTTTACGCAACAGACCGCTTGGTTCCTCTTTCCTATGGCACACTGGAGGATCGCGAAGGTTTTTTGAAGCAGAATGCCTACTTAGCGCCTGCAAATGACTCAAAAAAGTGAACCTACCTCTGTGGCTCGGGGCATGTCGACATTGCACGATTGTTTCAATGCAACCGTTGAACAGTATCCAACGAGGACTGCTGTTGTGTACGATGACGGCAGCAATAAGACACTTCTGACGTACTCTGAGCTGTCGCGACGCTCAGATGAGCTTTCTGCATTAATCAACAGTCACGGTGTGTCCCGGGCTACCGTAGCATGTTTGTGCGAGGCTTCTACGAACACCTTGGATCTCCTTCTAGGGTATGTGTGTAGTGTCGACAGTTTTCCTTGGCCAGGGCTGAATGCCGGTAATCTGCGGTAGCTCGCTCAGTACCAGATTATAATCAAAACACTGTTCACAACTTGCATTGCAACGAAAACCCCGCGTTCGTTGTGAGACTTGCAGAAAGTTCGTCAGAGTTACTTGGTTGTTATCGCACGAGCGGCAGAATTGCACGTAGCGTTTAAGTGGCTCGACGATTGCGTCGAGACCTGTGCGCCCTCCGATGCTCCCTAAAAACCTCGTTGCGAGTGACAACTGCCCTTACTTCCCTTTTTTCTCTCCGACAGGGTACTGAAGGCTTCCTGTGCTTTCACTTTCCCGAGGACCAACTGCCCTGAAAAGTGCATTAAAGCACTTGTGGATACGAAAACTCGAGTTTATTTAGTAGCAGAAAAATCATTGTATGATCAGGTATGGTATGCAATCTTCTCGCCTTTCTTAACTAGGCGCGTGAATAATTTGAAGTGGCTGTGCATAGTGCCGTTGTACACACAGCACGTGTGGGTCACACAGATGCACCCTAGCCTGCTAGAGTCTGTGATGAAGAAACTCTGTAAAGTGAATGCTGCTATGTGTTGCCCCAAATCGCACTTTTGTCAATTGTAAAAAAATTGAAGCGCATTCTAGCCAGTCTTTGAATATAGTTGTGAGGCTGAGTTAGTTACCTTCATTCCGACGATGTGTATGTTCTCGTCTGATGTAAATTGACTTCCCGTGCATTTGTTTATTTCAATTTGTGCATCCACCGCACAAATACTTTTATTAGGCAATTTTGTAGTTCATATACATTTGCTAATTAGTGTACATTTACCTTGATAATGTGTCATTTGATTTCTGCATGCTTTTTACCCTCTTTTATATTACTGAATAAGGGTCATCGTGGTTCGTTATTGTTATAAAAAGCTTTTCTCTTTCTTTTCCAGCACCGTCTTGCAACAAACGATGAGTGGTCGGAACTTGATGCTTTATGGGAAAGCAAATTTGTATTTGCAAGTCATCGTAGCAATGCAGGAAAACAGTCTGACCAATCAGCATTGTTAGAGCCGCTGATGGCATACATCATGTTCACATCTGGAACAACAGGGGACCAAAAGGTGGTCAGAGTTCCACATGAGTGTGCCCTGATGAATGTCCGACACTTACGGTAATTATGTGCTTACTATCAGGGCTTCTTTCATGTATATGCAAGACAAATATTTTTCTAACTTAGCTACTGTGAGCATTATTTTTTCCTATTATCTATAATTATTCGAGTCCATGTTCATGGGCACCTGTTTCAACACTTTGGTGTCCCTGACAGTGTTCTTTGTCATGTCGCACTGCACTTAACTCGCTGGATGGCTTTCAGACTGAACTTGAAAGGAAAAACAGATTTATGCTCTGTCAGAAATTTTTATATTTCATTCAGAAGGCTTAGCAGTCACAATCAGGTTTCTACTTAGTATGAGCAATTGAGGCTTGTTTAAGGTATTTGTGTAGGTATTTTACAGGAAAGCTGTATACCTTTCGCTGGTAGGAAAATCTTTATGAGCTGGGTTGGTGACAATTGGTTTAAGATTTTAGGAAATAGACTTTTCAGTACCTTCACAAACGTGTGTATATATGAGTGCTTGAGTAAAGTATGACTGGACTTGGTAGAAGCTTTTTCCTGCTGCACGGTCATCCTTAAACAGACTTGTCATAATTATGCTGGGTAAATCGCGACCGAAATTCTCTTATGCAGTTGGATGCTGTTGTTAGCACGCCCAACTCCAGTGAGCTTGCACATGTCAAATGTGATGAAGAAGCAGTAATCAAAAGGCACTTAAAAGAACGAGAATCAAATAAGAATTTTTCTATTCCTTCTTTTTTTTTTTTTTTTGCTAATGACTGCTTGATACATGCCTGCTTGCAATATCCTTTGCATTTAGACATGTCAAGTTGCTCCCACTGAAATATTCCTTCAGGGTTTTGTTTCACTTCATCAATTGCAAACTTATCATCTATCACGGTGTAACTTGTGTAGCTCAAAAAAAGACATGGACTAAGAAAGTGACAACAGGACGAAGCACTTGATTTTAGGAGAATGCTCATTAAACAAAGGCGCAACATATACATTGATCAGTCCGTGCACGCACTAAGAGTCCTGGCTAAACCAGCAACGCGGGATCAAATGCAAAGATAAGTAACTGTGCAGGAGCTGATTGACTGTTAAAATGCTATAAATTGACACATGCGTAGCCATGGCACTGAGCTTTGTTTTAGAATGCAAGCACTTTTTCCGTTAGGTGAATTTATGCTGCGCTGATACAAGAAGCTCCCCGTGGAAAAATACGCACTTAGGCTAGCCAGACGTGTACAGGGAACAGGCAGAGACAAAAATACACCACCATCCCAGTAACAATTCCAGAATTACCCGCTCGTTTCCGGCGGCTCTCCGTCGCTCCTTTCTAGTTCCTCTCCTTCTTCTGCTTCTTGTTGTCTGTTGCTACCTCGTTCGCCCATTTGTCTCTTTTTTTTGGAGGGTCTTTAAACTGTGAGGGTGACCCTCTGCTACGGGAACTTGTATCATTTCACTTACATCCTCCGAAGAAGGCTGGTCCACCAGCCGAAACTGTTAGGATTAAATAAATATTTTATTGTTTTGTTTCCTATACTGCACTATTCTCGCAGTTTATAACTTTTTTTACGGTAGCCGGAAGAAACTCTGATCATCTATTTCATCTATATATATATATATATATATATTATATATATATATATATATATATATATATATATATATATATATATATATATATATATATATATATATATATATATATATTCACAGACATGAGACTACACTATATGAACACCCGCCTATATGCGTTCGCGTGCTTATGGGGTAGTTACAGCTGAAGTTTGTTCGCCCACAGTACGCTGCAGTACCGTGTTGGTCCGTCACCTCCCGAAAAAACCCCTCCCAAAGTTTTTTGTCAATCATTTTTGGCTCTCGTCGAAAGGGCAAGAAAAAGTAGGTTCACTACATTGGACATTGGCTACACGAAAACGCAACCTGTGTATGTTAATGAGCACCTTTGCCCGCGACTGAAGAAACTGCTCGGTATAACCATAGCGGAAAAATGGGAACTGAACTGGCACTTTGCGTGGGCTAAGGGTGGCAAAGTTTTCGCGCGGCAAATGGGAACATCACCCATTGTGCGGATTGCATGTGAATCTGACCTAGAAAAGATGTTCGATCAAACATCTACTAGCTAATCACACTCTTGTGTGGGGTGCTTTCTGCGTACTATTTGCTTTTTGTGATAACTATGCTTCATAAACTGGATGTTGCAATTCATGGCAACTACCTGAAATTGTTACATTGCAATGCGCAGTCTGCAAGAAATAAATTCGATCAGTTGACTTTGTTTTTTGATGTATTTAGTTTTAAGTTTGATGTAATAATGTTATCAGAAACTTGGTATAAATATGGCGACGACATTCTTTGCGTTCCCGGATGTCAATTTTTCTTCTTAAACAGGGCAACACGTCGTGACGGAGGCGTGCTACAGCTGGTAGCAAGTGAACTGTTGTGCACGATGCTACCAGAATTCTCTCTTATAACTCTAGACTACGAAGTTTTAAAGCCTGCAATGTAGAAAATATCTTTTCGCTGTTTTGTACTGTCCACCAAATGAACATACCGACGCATGGTTTCTTTTCCTTGACAGGTTGCTAAGTTTCATCTGCCTAAACGACCTATACCTCGCAATATGTGGTAACTTCAACATTAACCTTTTGCAAAATAACAAACATGTGTGTGATCTGCAACTTTTCTTCAGTCATATCATTGTATAAATGTGATAAGAACACCTACGTGCCTTAGCAACACTATCGATAGCCTCCTTGACCTTTTCATAACAAACTGTACTAATGAAGACACGAAAGCAGGTAGTATTGCAGCGGACATGGGTGATCATTTGCCAATCTATATGTTCTGTCCATTGAATGCAGCTTCTGGGGGTGCTCGTCACTCTAAGACTTTTGTTGTCCAGGAAATAAATTTTAAAACGCTAAGCATGTTCCTTAATGAAATTGTAAATGTAGATTGGACAACCGTGTTTTAGTGTACTGACCCTGATAGAGAATATACCACATTGTTACACATTTTAAAAGGTGTTTATGAGGAGTGTTTCAAGTTTAAAATTTTGCCAAAATGTGCGAAAAGTCGCAAACCTTAGGGTTTGCAACTTTTCTCGCTATATTATGCTTTGTCAAAACAAGGGACCCAAGTAAGTTTACGGCATTAAAGAAGTATTGCAACCAGGTAACTAAGTTCTTAAGACATTCTCAGAAAGTTTACTATGAAACTTTTCCAGTCAAATAGGCAGTTGAAGCGACTTACTTTAGCCCGAAATCAGCCAGTTAAACCGCAACAACCACCAGAATGATGAGCTTCAGCTAACCACAACAATAACCAGAATGATCAGCTTCTGCTAATACATAATGAAAGGACCCTAAGAGGAGTAGAGCTTGCAGATAAGTTTAATGGTTACCTTACAAGTTTAGAAAAAAGCAATTTTAATATTGCCGCAACAGAATTTCTACGTCCGCGTAATGCTCATACGGCTTTTTTTTCCACCCACAACTGCAGGCGAAGTCTTTCAAAGTTTTATGTCCTTAAAAAACAGCAAGGCACGTAACATAAATGGGTTACAGATAAGACTGATAAAGTTAGTGGCTGACATCTTATCACCTGCACCTACTCACATTTTTAACCTTTCAATATCTACTGGAACCTTTCCTCAGAAAATTCAATGTGCAAAAGTTAGCGTTATTTTCAAATCTGGTGACAAAAGTGTATTCTCGAGTTATCGACCAGTGTCCATTCTTCCTGTTATATCAAAAGGATTAGAACAAATTGTTTGCAAGAGAATTACAGCTTTCTGTGATAAACACTTGATCATAACGGTGCAACAATATGGTTTTCATGAAGAAATTTCCACAGAGCTAGCCCTACTAAAAGAAAAGGAGGCAATCTCGAAGAGTTTTGAAAATAAACAATTTCTGTTGAGTATCTTTGTTGACTATTCTAAGGCCTTCAACCATTTGAATCACTGCACATTATTTATAAAACTAGAGTATTACGGATTTCGTGGCACTCCTCTTACATTATTAATAATGTATTTAAAGCACAGAAAGCAATGCGTTGTCATTATGTCGGAACATTCTGCAGTGAAAGAAATAACTCAAGAAATACCACAAGGTAGCATACTGGTGCTCATTCTATTCAACATTTATATTGATGACATAACAAACATTTATAATGGTGCTAACTTCACAGTTTATGCAGATGACACTAGCATTTTTGGGAGGTAAAATGACATAAACACTCTCTCGGTCATCACTAATACTGCACTAAAGCACTTGGCCGAATGGCGCTCCATTAACTCACTAAAACTGAATACTTAAAAAACAGAGCCGGTCCTTTTCACCCCACCAGAATGACGTGATTTTAAAGATTTCAGAGTAGAGCTTGAGTCTAATTGCATAAAACTTGCATCAAACTGTCGAAACCTTGGGAGTTGTTTTTAATAATCACCTTCCTTGGAATGATCATTTTGATTATATCGTCACACGTTTAGCGAAAGCCTGTGGGGTGCTCCGTAGACTGTGCTATACTTTATCGCAGAGCGTTAAACTCATGATTTATAATAGCCTATTTTCCCCTGCATTTAACGTATTGTCACTTAGTATGAGGTGTAGGGGGTCTGCCCTATGTACGGCTGACGCAGAAGCCTAAGTCTTAGGGCCGCTCGCAAGCCCAGCAATGCACGAGTCATGAAAGTAGTGAAAAAGTGCTCCCCTCAACTTGCGCGGTATTGCGATTTTGACTCACTTGTGTCATCGTCAGATGAAATGTACCTCAGCAGGACGCCATCAGAATCGAGCAGATATGAATCCAGTGCGCTCACAGCTTTACCAGCTGTTGCCGAGCACTCCGCACCAACAGCAATACCAGCTGACCCCTTGTGCGCGATGGCCTCACTACCACCCGGCTCCCAGAGCCCATCGAACACCTTTTGACAAAATGGATCTTTCTGCTGAGCTTCTAACAGTTCCCTTCTGCTGAAAACAATCTCTGCGCTAATGACAGCCTCTACGTGGTTCATGCTCTTACCTCGAACTAACGTTTGCTCCGCTGTTTGGGTTATCGCGAGTGTCTCGCTCTCAGTTTGTTCCAAATTAGTCGCGTGTCTTGCCTCGTGTCGGACTGGAGCACGCGATAGTGCGTTGGCCGCGGCATTGTTCTTGCCCTTGCGGTAGCGAACGGTAAAGTCGTGACGCTGCAGCAGCAATGCCCAATGTGCCAGGCGGCCACTTAGTTCATTCAAGCGTCTCAACCTCGTAAGTGCCATGTGGTCAGTCTCAATCACGAACGCAACTCCGTCTATGTAAAAGTCAAACTTACGGAGAGCAAAAACCATCACCCGACACTCTTTCTCGGTTGCCGAGTAGTTGCTCTCCGCCTGCGTCAACGTGTGGCTCGCATATGCAATCGGTCGGAGGGAACCTCCATGCTCCTGAAGCAGAATTGCTCCCAAGCCCAGGTCGCTTGCATCTGTGTGAATCACAAACATCCTGTTCAAATTAGGTAGCTGCAGCTGAGCCGTGTTGGCCAGCAACTTCATGAGGCGACGCAATGCGGCCTCCTTCTCTTGGCTCCAAGCCCAACGCTCGCCTCTCCTCAAGACTTTCGTCAAAAACACCTGCACTGCCGCGCAGTCTGGAATGAATTGGCGATAAAATTTCACCATCCCTAGAAAGCGCCTGAGCTCACCGATATTACTCGGCGATGGATAGCTGACTATCGCTTCAAGCTTACCCTTATCCAGCAAAACGCGACCCTTGTCAAGTGTAAATCCTAATAATGTTATTCGGGTCGCCACTGTCTGAGCTTTGTTTGGGTTCAGAGTGATGCCTGCCGACCTCAGCCTTTCTAGAACATCTCTCAAGTGGCGCAAGTGCTCTTCGAACGTTTTCGAGTAAACCACTATGTCGTCTAGATATGCGAGTGCGTGCTGCCACTTTGCATCTCCTAAAACATGGTCAATTAGCCTCTGATACGTAGTGGGAGAGCCCACCAAGCCGAAAAACATTCTTCTGAATTGGAAAAGTCCCCTGTGGCACGTGAAAGCTGACTTCTCTTTATCCCGCTCGTCCATCTCAACGTGAAAATATCCACGGCTAGCATCGAGCGTAGTGAAGTACTTCGCCTCGCCTAGGTTGGATACTAGCGATAAAATGGAGAGAAGGGGGTACTCGTCCTTCTTCGTAACCTTGGCCGGTGTCAGAGAGGACAAAACTGGCCGTCCGCACGCCAGTTTTGTCCACTGACCCAGTTTCTCTCTCCCTGACGAGAATAATATTTTTTCTCGCTGAGGAAAAGGAAACTCGTTTCGCGCGCTGGGAAAGGGAGAATCGCTAGTGCCGGCTGTGGGGGTTGCCGCAACTAGGCTTTCGCGCTGCCATAAAAAGGGAAAGGGAGGCTGGCCGCGCGTGCTCTCCAACAAAGGTGACACTACAAAAGTCAATTTACATAGGTTTAGTATTCTTCAAGAAAAAAGCAGTTCGCTTCGTAGCAAATAATCTGTATAGCACCCATACTGGAGAGCTATTTTCAACCCTTGGGATCTGCCCATTTGCGAATTTCTATAATCTCACCCTCGTTTTAAATTCCAAAAGATACTTCAGAAGTAACAACTTCAGTTTCCTGTTGTCATGCAATATGACTATACCCAAAGCTATTTCATACAACATAAGGGAAAGAAACCAGTGGCTCATGCCTTTTTGTGCACGAAATATGGTATGAGCAGCCTGTCATACCCTGTGCCATGCTTTTTCAATGAATTTGAAAGAAATGGCATTCGCATAGAAAATTCATCTCAAAATGCAATCAGGCGGTATGTACTTGGGCACTTGTCTTCGGGGCAGTAGTGCGCGTTATGCTGTTGCTATAAAACAGTTTTTCAGTTACATGTTTTGTTCTTAAATTATCAGTTTTCTCGAAGTTGACTTTATCAAGTGCTTCTTTTTTGTATCAGCACAGTTATGATGTTTATATATGAATGCTTAATAGTCCATACAGCGTATAAAAATTTGTCCCATTTGTGTGAAATAATCTGTGCACAGTCATTACTGTTCATTATGTCCACTTTCGTGATGCACTATTTTACATTTTCTGTTTTGTGCAACCGAACATTGTGCATCATAATTTTCATGTATTACTTGTGATATATATCTTTACTTCTGTTGCTACTCTGCTATATATGAGGACCAGAAACGTTTAGTGGAAATGTAGAACAAGAGATGTTTGTAATGATAGTACGTTGTTTTCTATGGCTGTCAGGAATTGGGGCAAGAAGCTTTGTCAAGCTGTTTGATAGCAGCTTTTTGTTGTTCGTTATCTTGCTGTAACAAATGCCAAATAAACTGATTGATTGATTGATTGATTTAAGATGCTCAAGGCTGTTATTTAGGCACCTGCCGCTTTTTTCGATGTATTTCTTTCCGCATGATAGTGTGAAAAAATGCAAGGCACTTTTTCAACACGAAACAAAAGGGTTTCTATGTTTTGCAATTCATGAAAAGCAGGTTGATTTGTAGCTTGCCATACAAAGCTTTGTAGGTTTGTTTGGTGTGGTTCATCATCATCATCATCATCAGCCTTACTATGTCGACTGCAGGACAAAGGCCTCTCCCATGTTTCGCCAGTTAACCAGTCCTGTGCTTTGCTGCTGCCAATTTATACCCGCAAATTTCTTAATCTCATCTGCCCACCTAATCTTCTGTCTCCCCCTAACCCCCTTTCCTTCTCTGGGAATCCAGTTAGTTACCCTTAATGACCAGCGGTTATCCTGTGTACGCGCTACATGCCCGGCCCATGTCCATTTCCTCTTCTTAATTTCAACTATGATATCCTTCACCCCTGTTTGTTCCCTAATTCACTGGTGTTGGTGTGGATAATGCCAATCTTATGTTTGCCTTGTTGGCTACCTTCTTGAGACGGTGCATTATGTCATGTATGTAGCGGATAAGAAAGATGTTTTTCTAGCTTATGTGATCACTGGTAACACCTGAGGCTTTTTGCATGTTCCGTCTGACTGTCCTTAAAGTCCCTCAGCTACTGAAGTGATGACACACTGGGGTTAGCTTGCTGTGATCAAACAATTTGTTTGGGCAAGAAGGCTGGCCTCACTTGCGTGCAAATGGGATTTACTTAAAGCATTTCTTAGGATAAGTTTGGTGATCTCTAGTTTAACAAGCTTAGAATGGCTTGTTGAGAAAGGCAGTAAAGGCTTGCTGCTGTGTGGTGTCTGCTGCCAGCAGATCTGCTCAAACTGGGAACTTGAGCTTTTGGTCAAGAAACCTTGAGGAGCTTTTCTGTGGTGCTTCATGTGTGATTAGCGATGAATTTAAACTCTCGGTAAACATTTCAAGAGTCTGATCCATACCAGTCTTAATTTGAACTAGTGTCGAAGTCTTCCTTAGAGCCCGCCATTACAACCAAATAGTCGTCAACATCAGAATGTTTACAGCACTGGAACCACTGAGCTTACATGTAATGTCTCGATCCTTTTTTTGTTTTGCATGAAATAAGTCGCTCAAAATGGGAGCTACATATTAAGAACCGATACATACATCATGTTTTTGGAAAAAAATGTTGTCTTCCCAAGAAGAGAAGGTAGGCTTCAGTTGAAAGAACAAAAATCAGTTAGCGCATTTAGCTGTCATCACTTTTTTGTCCATGTCTTTTTTTTTGTGTATCACAAGGTTCATCTTGTGTCACCACCAGCAAGCCCATTCTTTCATCCTTTCACTTTAATAAGTTGTACATAGTTGTATTGGATGCACTGCAAGGCATCTGGTGCACAAAGAATAACTAATCAATTTCTTAAGCATTAAGTGAAAATATGCAAGGTTTCTCTGTGTTTGTCCAACAGGCATAGTCTTTCAGGCATAAATGTGAAGCAGCACCAAATAACTAAAACTTACCCAGGATGCCCTGAAATCCAAGATTATAACAACTGTAATGCTGAGCAAGTATTGAAGTGAATGCAGGAAGGTACCAGAGATAGGAGATGTTTGTACTTATCATGGTACTGCTATGTTTCAAATTTCATATTGGTCTTTTTTATTATTGTAGAGTTTCTAGGCATTCATTGTTCCTTGTCAACAGATGCTTCATAGACGAGATGAACGCATGGTTGCCCCCCCCCCCCCCACCCCATGTCTTTTTTATCTTTGTCACAGGTCCATCTTCAACATCTCGAGAGAAGACATAATATTTCAGGCAGCACCCATGACATTTGATCCCTGTGTCATAGAAATTTTTTTGGCTCTTACAACGGGTGCTCAGCTTCTTTTGACATCCGAGGCTGTCAAGTGCATTCCTCGAGCTGTTACACAACTCCTCGTTGATTACTCGGTCTCAGTTATTCAGGTATGTTCAGGCATGTCTCATTTGCACCTGCTAATCATCACAATTTCTCTGTGATATTTTTGTTATGGCAATTGAGATTGACTTGCTGCATATCTAAATGTGTTTATTCGACTTTGCGATCAGCACTCAGTGGCAGTGTGCAATGGCAAGAGTCGTGGCAGAGCACAAACACACAGCACGAGTAGCGTTCTGTCAGAAAAGAGTTGTAGAGGACGACTCACTAAAAGACGCTGGACAGGGTGACCCATTGCACAGTTCCAAGGCTTTAACAAACATATAATGTAGCTGTATACAATGCAGTCACTAGTAAAGCAACACAAAAGTACGAAACGAGTGTCAGACCTGAAGTAAGTGAGAATGTGCTTTAATTAATGTGTCACCACTGTAAGTGGCAAGAACAGAAACAATATCAAATAATAGACGTCAGACTTACCAGGCAGCGCCACGCTGGGCATAACTGGGTAGTGCAAAGAGAGCCATCTGCAAGTGAATGTGCATAGGCTCTTTTGTTGGTGTTGAGACGTGGTTTCCTGAAAATAAGGGATCTGGCAAGCTGCTTTTGTCAGTGTGACCTTGCTTCACAAAAATAGGAAGCTGATTGAAGTGAACTGCGAGTACATCGCGAAAGATGTTTCAGTTATATCGGCAAGCCGTGAGCGCAATTGAGGTACAAGCAAGCATGTCTCGGAGTTCAGCATCGCATGTCTTGGAGTTCGAGGCAATCTCTCCAATGTATGTTCTGTAACGCCTAAATGCGTTAAATTTGTGCATACACATAATGCTAAAGCGATGAGGTGGATACATGAGCACTGTATTGTGTGATCAGTGGTGCGAAGCTCGCTTAATTCGGCATGACTGGCCCCGGCAATTATTCGCAATTGCAGAAGCATTCTCCATCTATCTCTTGGCTTCTGTGCATTGCACTCTTTTCTTATGCACATCCTAGAATTTTTTGTTGATGGTTGTCTTCCGTTTGTATATACTGCAAATGGAAATACATGCATGTCCACTTTCTGGGTGTACAATGAAAGGCAAAGCCGAGGTGTCCTGAGATAGACCAACGGCAAGAAAAACCTGATTGTGGTCATGAACTCATGACCAATATTTCGTGATTTACCTCTATAACGTACTTGTTGACATTAGCTGGTTAAAGGCGGCCGAAACTTAAAGCCTTCAAAGCGTACGTGTGCGATGCTGTACGATGGCAACCTCCTCTGATCTGATTATCAGTCATCACGACGCGTGCAATGTTTATTGTGCGCGTCATCAGTCTATTGTTGCACAGCGTGCACTGCGGTCAGAGGACTCTGTTGAGCTTCAAAATCAAAATTACCATGGTTCTTCGTCAAGGCTACTCAAAACATTAACAGGAGACAGTGGCGTATCAACTCTTTCGCGAGTGGGGGGGGGCAAACCTACCTCACTCGTCAGCCGGAATGTAGTGTGTGTGTGCGCGTGTGTGTGTATGTGTGAACGTAAATGCACTTTCACATAACTGCTTATTTAGTCCTGTGTAGTTTATTAACGTCATGTTCTGGACGTTAGCATTACTTTGCCGAAAGACGACCAACGCAGACTCCTTGAGCTACTGGCCGAATTCCAAGACTTCTTTTCGACAACATCAAGAGTTGGCCGCACAGTCTCTAATCGAGCATCGAATAATTACCGAGGAAACGGCTAGACCTACTCACCAGAACCTTTGTGCTGTGGCTTCAAAAAAATGCGAAAGCGATACAACAGCAGGCAGACAGAATGCTTGAAGATAACCTCATTCAGCCTTAGTGGAGCCCCTGGGTGTCACCTGTAGTCCTCGTTTAAAAAAAGGACGGCAGCCTGCGCTTCTGTGTGGATTACCGGAAGCTAAATAAGGTGACCAAGAAAGGCGCATATACACTACCGCGTATAGACGACTCTCTCGACAGACTTCAACATGCTCGATACTTCTCTTCAATAGACTTGCGGAGTGGATATTGGCAAATCGAGGTGGACTCGGAAGACTGCGAGAAGACCGCTTTTGTAACACCAGATGGGTTATATGAATTTAAGGTCTTGCCATTCGGTTTGTGCTCAGCACCTGCTACCTTTCAAAGACTCATGGATACTGTGCTTTCTGGGTTGAAGTGGAAAACCTGCTTGCTATATATGGATGACGTCTTAGTGTTCTCCGCAACGTTTGACGGGTACCTTGAAAGGCTTGAGGTGGTCTTACGAGCCATACAGTCCGCGGGCCTGACGTTGAAGCCTGAGAAGTTACACTTTTGTGACGAAGAGCTGCGACCGATAAAAAGGCTGTCAGACGCTTTCTCGGCCTCTGTGCATATTATCGACGATCTATCGCGAACTTCGCAGACATAACATCACAGTTAACTCACCTCACGAGAGAAGACGTCACCTTTGAGTGGAAGAATGAAGAGGAAGCTGCTTTTAACGATCTTTGCCAGCGACTACAAACACCTCCAGTCTTTGCCCACTTTGACGAGAGAGCCCCTACGATGCTTCACACCGATGCTAGCAATGTTGGTCTGGAAGCTGTGCTTGTGCAGCAGCAAGAGGGCACAGAAAGGGTAATCACTTCCGCAAGCAGAACGTTAACATGTGCTGAGGCTAATTAACCCACGACTGAGAAGAATGTCTCGCCTTGGTATGGGCAGTTACAAAATTCCGTCCGTATTTACATGGCCGCCCCTTCAAAGTAATTAGCGACCACCACTCACTGTGTTGGTTAACAAATCTTAAAGACCCTACCGGCTGGTTAGCGCATTGGAGTCTCGGGCAGCAGGAGTTCGATATGGCAGTCGTACATAAGTCAGGGAAGTGACATATGGACGCTGACTGTCTGTCCCGTTCACCCATTGAGTCGGCAACCCTACCCGAGGAGGAAGGAAACAGCATTTCTTGGTGTCCTCGACACGACCGCCATTGCGCAGCATCAACGTGACGACGCTGAGTTGTTTGGCTTGATTACCTACTTAGATGGCAGATCTCAGAAGGCACCAAGAGTGTTCGCAAGAGTGTTGTCATTGTTTTGTTTACGGGGCAAAAGAAATTTTTCGTCGACGGGATCTGACTATCTGCTCGTCATCCCAGCAGCCCTTCGCACTGAAGTACTCAAAGCATGCCACAACGAGGTTACCTCTGGCCACTTGGGTTGCACGAGAATGTTGGCCAGGGTACAGCAAATGTATTACTGGCCGAGACTAACCACAGCCCTGAAGCACCACGTTCGTACCTGTCTTGACTGCCAGCGATGCAAGTCACCACCGACTAAACCAGCTGGCCTCCTGCAACCCGTACAGATCCCAACGACATTATTCAACCAGATCGGCATGGACAGTTTGGGCCCACTCCCTACCTATACTGCAGGCAACCGATAGGTTATCGTTGCAATGGATTATCTGACCCGTTATGCCGAGACAAAGGCTGTCCGGAGAAGTATAGCAGCGGAGGTGGCAAGATTTTTCATCGAGAATATTGTACTGAGGCATGGTGCACCAACCGTCGTAATCACCGACAGGGAAACCGTATTTTGGACCATGTCTTGATGCTGACTGGAACGACGCATTGAAAGAGCACCGCCTACCACCCGCAAACGAACGGCTCGACAGAGCGACAGAGCAATACCACTGAAGACATGCTTTCGATGTACCTAGATGTTTAACACAAAAATTGGGATGAAATCTTGCCTTAGATAAAGTTTGCATACAACACGGTCAAGCAAGAAACAACCCGCATGACACCGTTCAGCCTCGTTCATGTACGGAAAGTGCGAACCATATTAAATGCAATGTTACCGCACGAAGGCGACGTCATCGTCCCGGACGCCGACATGTTTACGGAATGCGCAGAAGAAGCTAGGCAACTTGCACATTTACGGATCAGCCAGCAGCAAGAGTACGATGCGGGCCGCTACAATGCTTATTGCAGAACAGTCGTCTACCATACTGGCGACAAAGTATGGGTTTGGACACCGGTACGGAAATGAGGACTTTCCGAAAAGCTCTTGAGAATTACTTTGGACTGTACCTAGTGCTGCGACAACTGAGTGATGTCACTTACAAAGTTGTTCCTGACAGTTCGTGTAGTACAAGGCGTCGCCAGCACCATCCTGATCTCGTTCACGTAGTGCGCATGAAGCCTTACGTCAGCGAGTGATTGCATGAGACTTTCCTTGAAAAAAAGCAAAACATTACATACTTCGCATCGAGGCGATGCTCTTTTAGAGGGAGGCAAATGATGCTTGTCTACATGTGGACGAAAACGATGATGGGAGATCTAGTGGACACGAGGTAGTGGGCCTCCACCTTTACTCGAGACTGAAGACGACGATTTTGTGGCTCAGCTGTTGAGAACCCGCGGCTTTCGCTGTCTTAAGGTGTACCTGTGTTTTGTCCGCGTTGTACTGCGACAATATATATATATATATATATATATATATATATTGTTACAGCAAGATGGCGCCAGTCCAGCATCAAACGAAAACTCACTTGATCCTCCTCTTTCATGTAGCCGTGTTTAGCGGCTGTTATGTATCATAACCCCCGGCGGTAGGGGCGCCGTCGTCCCGGTGCTAAATCTACGCAGATGATGTCGAAGGGGGGTAATAGGGCTTTAGCCGAGCCACGTTCTCACAGTCCCGTAAATTGGGGATGCGATCGCCGGGCTAATTCCAAGAGCCGAAGTATCGGCCCCCCCAAACCGCACCACGAAAGCGTGGACAATTTAGAAGTGGTCCTTTTTGGCGCGCCAGCGGACGCCGGCTGTGGCCCAAAGAACAAGTCAGAGCCGAGAGTTGATAAACAAACAAATTATATTCTCAATAATGGCAGATCGAAAACAATACACAAAAAAGCACACTCCACAATAGTTGCATACAATATGTCACCAATCAAACCAATCAATTAACGTACTACACAATACAATCAGCCACACTTGAAACAACGGACACGGACAACAATACGAGCTACAATGCAGTCGCATGCATTGAACAACCAAGACACTCA